TTATAAATTATCAAGGGTTCATGAGGGAGGGGGAAGCCGGGAGGGAAGGGGAAAAATGAGGACCTGATGCCAGGAGCTTAAGTGGAGAGCAAATGTTTTGAGAATGATGAGGGCAATGAATGTACAAACGTGCTTTACACAATTGATGTATGTATGGGTTGTGATAAGAGTTGTATGAGCCCCTAAGAAAACGATTTTTTTAAAAAAAAGAGTGGCTGTTGAGATGAGGCTATATACTCCTGTAAAGATTTGCTGCCTCTGAAACCCACAGAGGCAATCTACTCTATCTTATAGGGTCGCTATGAGTCAGAATCAACTGGGCAGCAGGGAGTAAGTGAGAGTGAAGAGTGGCCCTTGGGATTTACCCTTGTCCAGACCCTTTCTGCCCCTTCATTGTTGATCTTGGTACTTACTAAGACTAATAATTTATTCACTATAAATAAGGAGGATATAAGAGTAGATAGAAACAAGTCTTTTTGGACATCCCCTCACAGAAGGGTCACAAGGAAGGGAAAAGCCAGCCAGGGTGCAGTATAGCACTGACAATACACGCAATGTTTCTCAAGTTCTTTAATGCTCTCACCCACCCCAACCCACTATCATGACCCCAGTTCTACCTTACAAATCTGGCTAGACCTGAGCATGTACACTGGTACATATAGGAGCTCTCAATACACAGAATCCAGGACAGATAAACCTGTCAGGGGCAATAATGAGAGTAGTGATACCATGAGGTTACTGGAAGGTGGGGGTAGAAAGGGGGAACTGATAGCAATGATCGACATACAACAGGGGGGACGAACAACAGAAACATGAGCAAAGGTAGACAGCAAATAGTGTAAAATATGAAAATAAAAATAATGTATAAATTATCAAGGGTTCATAAGGGTGGGGGATGGAGGGAGAAAAAGAGGAGCTGATACCAAGGGTTCAAGTAGAAGGAAAATGTTTTGGAAATGATGATGGAAACATATGTACAAAAGGGCTTGATACAATAGATGTATGGATTGTTGTAAGACCCCCCCAATAAAATGATTTATTAAAATAAAATGGTGAAAAACAAGTATTTTGTACTTTAGTTATGCTTCTCTTGTTTAGAAAATAATTTTTTTCCAGAGTACTATATTATGTATTAATTAGTTGTTACTGTGTCGTGATTTTGGTGTTCCAAATAGTCAGCACAGAAGTTGTTACATAACCCATTAATTACAATCAGGTCGGTTCTAACTAATGGTAACTCATAATTTCCAAAGCTATATAAGTCTTTTTGAGAGCAGTATCAAAAGCTCACAATTTTTCATAGCAATCCAACATCAAAATCACATATGTAGATAATAAAAATATTTAAATATGCATTAGACATTTGATTACAAGTTAATATTTTAGAAGTGTGGTAATGGCATGGTGGCTCAGCAATTAAGAATTTGCATGCTAACTGAAACATCCACAGGCCAAATCCATTAGCTAGTCACTGGGGGAAATATTTGGCAGTCTGCTTCCAAAAACACTTACAGCCTTGGGAACCATATGGGACACTTCTCTCTGTACCATAGCATTGCTGAGTTAAAATCAACTCAATGCCAACAGTGATTTAGCTTTTTAAAATATGGTATAGTCATTAGATTTTATAAAGAGGATTACCAGAAATAACTAATGAAGTGGTTACTGACAGAACTAATGGTATCTAGATTTTGTTTTAAATTACCCCTGCAAAAATAAGCAGGTGATAAAATATGATAACTATATTGACAATTATTAAATCAGGTGATAGATACGAATAGTTTTTTTAAGTCCTATGTACGTTTACATGTATTTGAAACATCTATGGTAAGTCAAAAATATATAGAGGAAAAATTACATTTTTAAAATAATTTTACTTTTAATAGTTTATTACAAGAATATAATCAGGTACGTCCCATATACATAATAATTTACATGTTAGTTATCCTATATATTCGAGTATAAGCCGACCCAAATATATGTCAAGGCACCTAATTTTACCACAAAAAACTGCATTAAAAATGTGCTGAAAAACGCGGCTTATACATGAGTATATATGGTATCTTAAAACCAATTGTCATCAACTCAACCCCAGGACATGATGACTCCATGGCTAATTTTTAGATCGATCTCCAGACCTTTCTTCTGAGGGACACCTCTGAGTGGACCTGAGCCTACAAGTTTTTGTTAGCAGCCGAGAATGCATGTTTGTAATATGTACCATCCAGGAACAACCTAAATATTAACAGACAATAAAACTAGTGTAATCTATGTAGTGGAACACTATGAAGTCCTTAAATGGTTTTACAAGATTACTTAATGACATCTTTAAATGTCACAAGAAAATGTAAAGCAAAAAAGAAGTGGAAAAGTATGCAGAATACTGTCCCAATTTTGACCCCAAAAGTCTCTATAAAAATTTACTGATAGGGGACTTAAAGGAAATACACTAAATTAGTAGTAAGTTTATTTCTAGGTAGTAGGGCTAGGTGGTTTTTATTTGATTCTTTCTACTTCTCTGTATTATTTTCCATTTTTAAAAATCAACTTACCTACTCTTATTCAAGTCCATCAACAGAAAGATGTTATGAAAATGTCAGGTTTAATTCTTTTGTTTTGACCCAGTCATATTCCTTACATGAGATCAGGAAATATTCAAATAAGGAGAAAATTCATATTCTGAGATGCTTATGGAATTGCTCTTTTATATTAGTGGAAATAATAGAAATGCCAAAATGACCAACAAATGGAAAATTATCCAATTATGGTACATCTATCTCATGCAGCCAGTTCTTTTTTTCCCCCTAAAGAACTAAATACAGGGATTGTTCGTGGTATCATAAAAAGGAAGATAGCAAATTTGTACATAATATGATCTCAATAATGTTTTTAATCAAATATTGAAGACAGCCAACATGTTAGTGCATTGTAGATGATTTTAATGTTTCTACTTTATTTCTGAATTGCTTATACTGAGCACATATTACTTTATACTTATAAGAAGACAGTCAAAATGTTAGTATATTATAAGTGATTCTAATTCTAGTTTCTATATTTCCTAAACTGTCTAAACTGAGGGTCTGTTGCTTTATAATTTTTTGAAAACATTCTTTCAATGCATTAGAGAAGGAGAGAGTGAAGGGAGAAGGAAATGTATGCTTAAGGAGTAAAGAGGAGGCTGGGAACCACTGCTAGGGCAAATCATGCTAATGAAAAGGAAGTGAAGGATTGCTAAACCAAAAGCTAAATTTTCTGTAACGAGGCAAAACACCTGTTTAGTTTTGTGTCTTCCAGCTTTGCTTATTAGTCTGGCGAGAGAATTAGGGTGAGTAATTGCTGTCATCTAGGATTTAGGAGCATTTGGCAAACGTTCAGGCAGTCCGTGGTGCTGTTTTTCCTCCTTCACAGTTGATGGGAAGATGCTTTTGCAAACTGTAAAATTTCTAAACAATAATAGTAGTAGCTTTTATGTATCTCTGTGGCCGCTGTCCTAATTATGGCCCTCACCCTACTTATTTAAACTTGCCAACTGCTCTTCCTGCCTCAGTCTGTCCCTCCCACCTCCTACATTAGCGCCCAGAGTTCTCTTTCTCTAAAGTACTAGTCAAATGGTATTACTTCGCCTGTGTTCGCTGTCCACTGCCTTCGAATCTCTGAACTTTTAAGCCACCAACTTGGAGCTCTTTATGTTGTGGGCTAAATATAACTTTCCACCCTGAGCCCCTCCGTATCCTTTTCAGTTTTTTGTTTGCATGTTGCTCTTTTTTCGGCCCCATCTTTAACTTACCATTCTCTTTATCCCAGCTTTGCTACCACTCCTTATTTTGTGCTAAAACAGCGGTTCTCAACCTGTGGGTCACGACCACTTTGGGGGTCGAACTACCCTTTCACAGGGGTCACCAGATTCATAACGATAGCAAAATGAAAGTGATGAAGTATCAACGAAAATAATTTTATGGTTGGGGGGGGTCACCACAACATGAGGTACTGTATTAAAGGTTCACGGCATTAGGAAGGTTGAGAACCACTGCTCTAAAACATTGGCGGGTCCAACAAGTTCTATGACTTATATCCCCACGTTGGTTCTGCTGTAAACAGGTGACTTCGTGACCTTTATTATGTTACTTTAATCTCTTTAAATGTCACCAGATTTCTTCATCCTCATAATGTTAGTACCTACTTCAGAGCTGTCAGGAGTCATTCAGGTTATGAATGCAAAAGGCTGTGGTAAACTGAATGCATGGCACACAGGGCATTATTTTCTGCCTACTTCGGTCAGGATGCTTTTGAGTTCAACTAACAGATACCCAAATGAGAGTGTCTTGGACAATGAGCAATGAAGTCTGGAGGTAAGGCCGTAGTGCAGCAGCTCAGCCATATCAGGGACACGGGGTCTCCCATCTTTCTGCTTCACTCTTCTTCCCCTCTTGTTTTCTTGGGCTTGTTCCCCTAGTGGTCCACAGATAGCTGCTAGAATCTTATGTGCCACAGGCAGACAACAGTGTTCAGAGACAGAAAAAGGTGAAGTCCCTATTATAGGTCCCTTTTTCAGACCTACAATATATCTAGAAACTTCCGCTTCACCTCTTCCTCCCTTTACCCTGTAATGGTTCCCTTGTGTCTAATTGGCAAGCATTGTAGCATATGCCTGTGCCTAAACCAGTCATCGCTGGGAAATGGAATGAATAGTTCAGAACAGCCTTGATTCACTCCCCGGTGCTGGCTCCCTTTCAAGTTTCCTGAAGGAGTAAATGGTCAGAAAAAGACATAGTAGAGGCCATTAAGGAGGAAAAAGATTGTGGTGGTACAGTGTTTTCAGGGGTGGCCCTAGTCTGTTAAAGCAGGGAAATTAAAAGAATAGCCTCAAAGACAGTGTAATGATCGTGGATAAAAATTTGGGTCACGGCATACAAAATGAGCAAACAATTGGGGTGGGAAGAGTAGGAAACTTTATTTTCTTTTACACCCTCATTTTACAGTTTATCTTTATGCCTAACCAGGTATGCAGTGGAGCCGATGAAGACCCTGATGATAAAAATGCGCCATTTCGACAACGCCCATTTTGCAAATATAAAGGGCACACTGCTGATCTTCTTGACCTTTCATGGTCCAAAGTAAGAAATAATATTTTAATTGCATATGAATTCTAAGTAACTGTGACTTTTAGGATTAAAAAAATTGTTTTGTCTGCGTGATTGTCACACTGTCCAGTGTTTTAATGTTCATATTTACAGACACACACTATAAGAGTTACCTATAAATCGAAGTAAAAAAGAAACATCAGTTTAAACTAATAAAAATGTTTATATTACTAAATGACTTCAATCTGAAGTTTTCTACATTTTATAAGCAGTCATTTTGCAAACTAGCCTTAACAAAATGGATGGACCACTGAGGCAAAAAGAAACAATGTGAGGGTTATGCCTGACCTCCTCCAGTTCCCAAGGCCAATTGCCACAAGGCATACCTCCACCCTCCATCCCCTTCTGGGACCAATTCCGGTACCACCCCTGCCTCCCATGTACTCTCTACGTTTTGCAAATATAAAGGGCATGCTGCTGATCTTCTTAACCCTTCAAGGTCCAAAATTGGGCTTGATAATCTGTTGCTATGGCCACACAGAACCCAAAGACAATACTCATGATTATGGAACTTATTAGGGAAGTTAACAGGTTACAATCCAACATCAGAAATACTAAGGATACAGTTGTTCAGTCAGGTGAGTCTCTTTTCTGCCATTCCCTTGGGTGGGTTTCTCGCTGGTCCTCAGCCTCTTAGCCCAGCCTCTGCTTCTGCAATGTTAGAAAGCATGGTAGGGCTGCCATTGAAAGCTCAAAGGGCTTGTCACTTCACCATAAGCTTCAACCAGAAGGCACTCAGGTCCACCTCAATAGGTCAACAAAACTTCTATAAGCAACTTTACTTGCTCTTTGGGCCAGGAAATTCATACCACTCTGTTGCATGTCTGACTTCTGGTTCTGGTTCTCTGGTGTCAAAGCTGTCTCCTGGCTCAGGGAGCTTCAATGCACAAGGGATATCAGTGTCCAAAGATGCCCTCTACTCCTGGCTCTTCTCTTTTGCTGATAGTGAGATTCTCCTCTCCCCCCCTCTCCTCGGCTTCTGAGATGACTGTTCTTATACCCAGCAGAATAGCAATCACAATTAAAACCCTTCTAAACAGTAACTCACAGCTGAATCGTTTAATCCAAGCAGTTTCTTCTCCCATCTTCATACCCAGACCCATCAAGAAAATGAAGGTCATTTGTGAGCGTTACAAAGGCAATAGCTGGAAGAGTCATTAAATAACGCATTGCATTGCAACGATGAAAGTGAAATCTGATATATCTAATCAACACTGCTTTTGAGCTAGTTGCCTGAATGGTGACATTTCTGCTTTGGGTTTCAAAATTGTAATCTATAAATCCATTGTGAATCTTCATTTTTGTTTCACACAGCCCCCATCTTTAGAGAAAAATTATTTCAGAAATAAAGGGGCTATTTTGCTATCAATTAGATATCTTAGCAGTTTTGCCAAAATTTGAAGAGCTATTTTAAATTTTATGTACTGTGTTCAATCATGGAGCACGTGTCAGATTTTTTGCATAATTACATTATGCATAATGGTGTTGCATTTGTGGACAAAAAGGATCTATTTTGAAGCACAATACTGTGTGATGGGATAATGTCTATCCAATCAGTACAAATATTATTCAAATTTATGCACTAACCACTAAAGCCTAGTGATAAAGAAATTGAAGTCTACCAACATCTTTGGTCTGAAATTGATCAATTAGGTAATCAAGATTCGTTGATAATTATTGGTGATTGGAATGAAATTGTTGAAACCAGAGAGGAAGAACAGTAGTTGCAAAATATAGCCTTGGTGATAAAAATTAAGGTGGAGATTACATTATAGAATTTTGCAAGACCAACTAGACAGGAAAGAAAAGATCAAAGTGGATATCAGAAGAGAAGCTGAAATAGGCACTAATGTAAACGGAACAAAGGAATAAATAAGCATGGTTTAAAATCAGGGAAGGCATGTGTCAATATTATATCCTTTCACCATACTTATTCAATCTGTATGCTGAGCAAATAATCAGAGAAGCTGGATTATATGAGGGATTATAAGCATCAGGATTGGAGGAAGCTTTATTAAGAACCTGTGATATACAGGTGACACACCTTGCTTGCTGAAAGTGAAGAGGACTTGAAGCATTTGCTGATAAATATCGATTGCAGCCTTCAGTATGGATTACAACACAATGTAAAGAAAACATAAATCCTCACAACTGAACTAATATTGAACATCATGATAAATGGAGAACAACTGAAGTTGTCAAGGATTTCTTCTTGGTTGGATATATGAAGGGGTCCCCACCACCACCACAAAAAAAAATGGAAAAAAGCTCTTCTGGGCAGAGCTTTCAGTTTTCTACTAAGCGAGCATTGAGCAACTCGCTCTGAGTTAGTGCACCTAGTGGCGCCGCCTGGGAAGATTCTCTCTGGTCACAGTGATTTTTTTTTTGTAAAAGGAGTTTTACTCAAACCTTCATTTTTTGTAATGGCCAGTTGTGGCTGCGAAATTTTGTTTCCTGCTTGGGAAAAATGCCACAGAAACTGTTGTGATGTTGAACACAGCGTTCAAGGACAGCATTACAGGAAAAACTCAAGTGTATGAGTAGTTTTCTCATTCAAAAACAGGTGAAATGTCGATTGATAACAAACCTCGTTCTGGAGGTCAGTCAGTTTCACGACTTGTACATTTGGAGTTCATTCCACCAGGTCAGACTGTTAATCAAGTCTTCTATTTAGAGATTCTGAAAAGATAACATAACAGTGTGTGACCAAAAAAGGCCTGATTTGTGACAGACGGGGGTCTGGTTTTGCCACCATGATAATGCACCTGCTCATACAGCCATCGCAGAGTGCCAGTTTTTGGCAAAAATCAGCATGCCTCTCTTGCCCCTGAGCTTGCTCCCTGTGACTTCTTTTTGTTTTTGAAAATTAAGTGGGACATGAAAAGATGGCGATTTGATGATATAAAAGTCAGTAAAGAATAAAACGAGGGAGTTGCTGTAAGCCATCCAAACTAATGAGTTTGAAAAATGCTTCCAAAAATGGAAACACAGATTTGACCAATGTATTAAGTATAATGGAGAGTACTTTGAAGGTAATAATGTTGTTTTGTAAAAAAAAAATTAAATACATAGCTTTGGGGAAAAACTTCATTTGGGGGGAGTCGTACTCCTTGTATAATCAATGCCCTTGAGAATAGCCTTCGGTATCAAAAGGCATTGCATTGTGTAAATCTGCTGTGTAAGACCTCTTTAAAGTGTTAAAAAACAAGGTTGTTATTTTGAGGACTATGGTGTTCCTGACCAAAGCCATGGTATTTTCAATTGCCTTGCATGCATGTGAAAGTTGGATAAAGAAGACTAAGGAAAATTCAATATTTTAAAAATTATGATGCTGGTGAAGAATATTGAAAGTACCAGGAACTGCCAAAAGAACAAACAAATCTGTCTTGGACCAAGTACAGCCAGAATGCTCCTTAAAAGCAAAGCTGACAAGACTTGGTCTCATACACTTTAGGACTGTTTGCAGGGGCTACCTGTACCTGAAGGAGGACACCGTGCCTGGTAATGTTGAATCGCAGAGAAAATGAGGAAGACCTTCAACAAGATGGATTGACACACTGGCTCCGACAGGGGGCTCAAACATAAGGATAGTGCAGGCCTAGGCAGTGTTTCATTCATGTACATAGAGTCACTATGACTCATATCCCACATGAAGGCACCTAACAACAACAACACTAACAAACTTTCCACTTTCTTTGTATTAAAATGTCAGTATCATCATCTAAATTCCATTAAGAATTTAGGGCTGGGCAAGCATTGCATAAAAGCCTTAAATTGAGACAAAAAAGTTAACTGAGTTAACAAAATAATATCACTGAAACCAGTGATGTCATTAACATGTTAATTGTATTAGGGGAAACCCTAAATTTTGAATTATTCAATTTATGAATTGGTGCACCTATCATAACTTTTTAGATATTTTGAACGTTTTTCCTAACCCACTTGTCATAATATCTTGCTCTTTGTTAACAAGCTTGGTCCTCACTTTGGTTACAGGTAGTCTCATTTTTAAACTAATCATGCTATTGTACTCCTTCCCTACCTATTTCAATGAGTTCTGAGAAGATGGAAATCTAAGGTGTCCTTAATCTGATAACCATATTCATCTGAAATAAGTCCGCAGCCCATAGAGAATCTTGAATTCACTTTCTTAATGCAAGCAATTTTTTTTCCTGCATTGCCACATTAACTGGAAGACATTGGATATCCCTTGACCACCTTGTCAAAATTAATATGTTTTCTTTGAACTCATTATACTTAACCTTTCTCTGGCATTTGTTGATTTGGTGCTATTGATCTTTCTTAAAATGCTCCTCTTACCTTTGAAACCCTGTGCTTGTTGGTTTTCTTCCAGTCTCACTGACCTCTCCCCTTACGTCCTTCGTGGAGGCAGCAATAAATAGTCAAAAGAGCCTGAATCTTTAGAAGAGGATATTGGGATTTGACCTCAGATATTTCCATTTACAGGGACCCTGGTGACACACTGGTTAAGTGCTTGACTGCTAACTGAACGGTCAACAGTTCAATCCCTCCAAGGGAGAAAGATGTGCGAGTCTGCTTCTGTGAATGTTATAGCCTTGGCAGCCCTGCACCGTCAATGCCAACTCATAGAGACCCTCCTATAGGCACAGTAAAAGTTCCCCTGTGAGTTTCTGAGACTGCAACTCTGTACAGGAGTCCAAAGCCCTGTCATTCTCCCAAGAGGCAGCTGGTAGTTTTGAATTTCCAACCTTGTGGATTGCAGCCCAACTTGTAAGCACCATGCTATTGGGGGCTCCTATAACCTGCTGTCTACGAAGTACTTTGCTTTCACTCCAAACATTTGTACTGATCACTTTTTTGTTGTCACTTGCCTAAAGGCAATAGCTGGGAAGTAGGGAGGTCAGGATTAAAACTAAATGACTATCTTCCTGTGTCTGAACAACTCGTCACTACTAGGTAACAGGATGACGAAATGATTTACCTACCTCACAGGGTTTCTGTAGAGTACTAAGAGCAGTACATATCAAAAAATACTCAATATATGTCATTATTATTACCTTGATGTGTTTAATAACTTAAAGCATACCCCCCAAAACTAGGATCTTATTTGAATTTGTTTCATGGTTCAGTTCTCTATTTGACTAGATGACGTTTAGAAGTTAAAAAGCTTTTGACAGACAGGTGGTTGATTCTGAATGATGGGCCATCCATCACATTGCCTGAATCAGTTAGTTACCAGTACTCTTTTGCAGCTTTGAAAATTCTATAATCTATTCTGAGACATTTGACAAACTCTAACTACCTTGCCTAGGATGTGACAAGTACATCACTTTTCATTCCCATGCTGCATTATTGGACAGTTTTTTAAAAGACATTTCAAGTGACAATTAGGGATCCAAATGTGGATTGAAGTTCACCAGTATTATCAATGTGAAAATAAATGAATTGATGTCTTGTACTCAGAGCTATGACAACTACTTCAAACCCAACTAAACTCACTGCCTCAAGTCCGTGCGGGCTTAGCTCTCTGCCTGGGGCCCGGTCAGTTTCTTTGGACATGCATCAGAAGATCTGCTCTATCCCAATTTCAGAATAAATAATGTGAACAAGTCTTCCAATCAGTGAACTATCGTCATTGTTTAGGGAGAAGAAAAAAATCTTCAAAGTGAAGTGAACACTCTTGTTCTTTCTAATGTTGCATACAAAAATCATTTAAAAACCTCTTGCAACACACCTTGAAAGCTCACTTTTGTTATCTGAGTAGGTTCATGGGCTCCTTTGTTCATATGGTGGTAAAATAATCAAGGTCCTTTTCTCCACAGAACTACTTTCTGCTGTCTTCTTCGATGGATAAAACCGTCAGGTTGTGGCATATTTCCAGAAGAGAATGTCTTTGCTGTTTTCAACATATAGATTTTGTCACTGCCATAGCTTTTCATCCAAGAGTAAGTATTAGGTATACCTTTTGCTGTTGCTGTTTCATTCTTAGGATGTGAGGCAACCTGGCTTCTCCAGAGGAAACTAGGCTACCTACTGCTGTCAAGTCAGTTCTTCTCATTGTGACACTGTCGGCCAGCGTAAAACTGCAGCCTCATCTCTCTCCCACAGAGCAGCTCGTGGGTTAAACTGTCAACCTTGTGGTTAGCAGCCCAACGTGTAACCCACTGCACAACCACGCCGCCTTAACTAGACTACAAATGATCCACAGCCATATAGTTAAAAGCAACTTAATTCAGTGTTTCTTTGCTAAAAAAATAATGAAGGAAGTAAATATTTTGCTAAGCTGACCGAGTAGAACTTGGATTATTACATTCTAAGTATACAGTTAAAATGTTATTAAAATGTTTTCTGAGACATGACAAGGTATAGATAAAAAATAAAGGCATCCTATTAAATATAAGAGATATTGAAGATGGAAGAAAAGTCGGTAGATGGATTTAAAAAGAGAAATATGTAGGTGGGAAAATTGGGAGAGGAGGTAGGTAGAAAGAGGAAAGACTGTAAGAATCAAGACCGAAATTCATTTGTAAGAGATACATAGTTCCTATCAATTGTCAAAGTATTGTTAGATCAATGTCATTTCTTAATCCTTTTTAATGGCTATATTAGCTTTTCCCCCCACTATATATGTGCAGGAGAAGTTACCGGCTGAAGCTGACTGCTAATAACTATATTAAAATATATGAACTTAGAGCAGACCCACCAACTTTCACACCTTTACATTGATATATACATTCCCAGTCATATCCTCCTCTGTGTAGGTTTAACACCCATTATCTTTTTTTCCTGTTGCCGTTTTAAAATTTAATTATGTTAAAAAATATATTAAGAATCTGCAACCTGAACTAGTTTTCCGTGTATCATTATCACTTCCAACCATCTTCAAATGTTTTTCAACACTCCAGAGAGAAACTCAACATCCTTTAAATAATAACTCCCCATGTTGCCCTCCCCTTGTCCCTGGTAACCACCAGCAAACTTTGGTCTCTATGCATTTACCTGTTAAGTGTAGTTATACATTACTTGTCCTTTTGTGTTTTACTCATTTTAATAGTAATAATGAACAAAGTAGAGATTTTTTTTCTTGTTTGAGCATCCCCATTACTTACTCTTCACTTCTCATAGTACCAAAAATTAGATCAGCTTAGTGATGGGGTTGGTTTCAAATAGAGCACGGTTTCTCAACCTTGGCACTATTGACATTTTAGACTAAGTAATTCTTTGATGAGGGCCGAAGGGGAAAGGCTTTCTTAGCCATTTGAGTATGTTTTGCAATTTCTCTGGCCTCCATTGGCTGGATGCGAGTAATGCAAGTTACCTTCTTCACAATTGTAGCATCTAGATATTGCCGGATGTCCCTATGGGGTCATATTTTTTCCAGTTGAACCCTTGGTAGCAGGTCATATTGAGAGTTTAAATAGTGAAACTTCTCTGCTGATGTGTTTTCGTCATCCCAAATATACTGCCTGAGCCAGTGGGTTGCTGGCTGGTCTTTGATCCAAATGTTCATTGTATCCTAGGGAAAGATAATGGACAAATATATCTTTATGGGATTTTTCCCAACGGGGCTCTAACCAGATATACTTTTCTATCCCCTCCCCACCAAAAACAAATGTCTGTGATTAAATAAATTGAAAGCACTACCATAGTTCCCTTTTGGAGATCCGGAGTGCATGTTTACCTAAGTTCTGAGACTCCTGTTCAACTATCTGCTCCCATTCAACACACATTCAAACACACATCTGTGAACATCTACCAACATCAAACCCACCTAGTCTCCAAGGCTGTGAGTCTCTACTGGAGCACATAGTCCCATCTTTCTCCCACAGAGAAGCTGGTGTGTGTGAACCACTCACCTTGTAGTTAGCAGTCCAATACTTAACCCTACAGTGCCACTGGGGTTGAGGATATGATCAATGATTAGCGCATCAAAGTGAATAAACTAATGTTTGCTTGAAGACTACTTTAATACTTTTAAACTGACATCTACATGTTTTAAATATGACTTTCAGTGGACTTAATCTTTTGATTTGCTTTGGATTTCTCTTGACGTGGTCAAATGAATGTATTCTCTTTTGCCTTCTTCTCAGGATGACAGGTATTTTCTAAGTGGGTCATTGGATGGTAAGCTCCGCCTTTGGAATATACCTGACAAAAAAGTGGCTTTGTGGAATGAAGTCGATGGTCAAACAAAATTGATCACAGCCGCAAATTTCTGTCAGAATGGCAAATACGCAGTTATTGGGACATATGATGGCAGATGTATTTTCTATGATACAGAGGTAACTGATTGCTTTATATAGTTTATGTAATTGAATACTTAGAAAAACACTTGGGATTTCTTCTGGGCTTTCGCTACCTTATTTGTTAACTGGGGCAAATAGTATTAAGTCTTTCTGAGAATGGGATCTGATGACCTTCATTATTTCTTCTAATATTTCATGTATGTTTGCTTTCTTAGCATTTGAAATACCACACACAAATACATGTCCGGTCTACCAGAGGGCGCAACAGAGTCGGCAGAAAGATTACTGGAATTGAGCCTCTGCCAGGGGAGAATAAGGTACCATGCTGTTCAGAACCACTCTCTCCACACTCCATGTAGACTCCTAGAAATTACTTCTTAGTGGCTTCACAAAGAGTGCATTCCCTTTCCTATGGAATACTGCTTTTCCAAGTTTGAAAGGCATAACAAGTATTTGTTCTGCATGTTTGTATAAGTAGCCTTTTGGGGGGAATCAGAGCTTAATGTCAATTTTAAAATGAGATGTTTATTGATTTATTTTTAGATACTAGTCACTTCAAATGACTCCAGAATCAGGCTCTACGATCTCCGAGATTTGTCACTGTCCATGAAATACAAGGGTTATGTCAACAGCAGCAGCCAGATCAAAGCAAGTTTCAGGTAAATTCTCAAAAAGAGTTTGGAACGTTTCTCCCGTATTTCATTTTTTCACTTATGTATGCCTTCTGCTTTCACAATGTTTTTAGTATCTTTGCACTCTGAAAGACACTGTCATTTTATCATTACGTCACATTTATCTACCTGTATGCCAAAGTTAGAATCTTCCCCATTCTGTAGATGAAGACACAAAGACCCAGAAAATTAAGTGATTCAGTCACAATATTAGTTATAGAGGCAGGATTAGCAGGCTCCCTGGCCCAGCTTTTTGTTTTTGGTCCATTTATGTAAACTTTTACAAAATAATTTATTCTTTTTTCGATTTCGTTGTTGGAAATATATACCACAGAACATATTCCAATTCAATAATTTCTATGCACACAATTTGGTGACAACCACATTCTAAATTGGTGCGCTCCTTTTCACCCTACTTTTCCCAGTTGTTGGTTTAAAAGAAGGGTTGCTTCTTCTCCCCATCCTGCCCCATGATTCTGAGCCTCTTAAATACAATAAAACATGTTTTAGCGCCCAAAAGCACAATGTTCTCTATCTATACCTTTTTTAAAAACCAAACCTGTTGCCAATGAGTAAATTCTGACTCATAGCAACACTATATTGTGACAGAGTAAGACTGTTTCCTCAGACGTCACCTTTACAGGAGCAGATCAGCAGGTCTCTTCTCTAGTGGAGCCATTGATGGGTTGAAACCACCAACCTTTCGTTAGTAAAAAAGCACTTAGCAACTGTGTCACCAGGACACAGTTGAAAGGATTGTCCACCACTTTTCCCATCGAAAGGTGCAGTTCAAAACCACCAGCCAGTCCACAGGCGAAAGATGAGGCTGTCTACACCCATAAAGGTTTACAGACCTGGAAATCCACTGGGGAAAGTCTACTCCATCCTGCAGGGTTGTTAGAAGCTGGAACCAACTCGATGGCAGCTAGTTTGGTTTTAATTTTTCCCTTCTTAACCTGTTTCAACCCTTATCAGTTCTTCCCTTCTTGAATTACTTAGGAATCACCCAGTATCAAAGCGTTGATGCCTGGCCCCCATATCCAAAGCCTGAGGAGCCTGCATATCCAACATGCTCTCTCAAATGCCTTTTGAATATTTTAAAGTCAAAAAAGGTGCTGATAGAGCAAAACCTGAAACACCAAGTTTTCTTTCTTTTTCTTTTCACTCCCAAATTTAGCCATGATTTTACTTACCTCGTTAGTGGTTCAGAAGATAAGTATGTTTACATCTGGAGTACTTACCATGACCTAAGCAAGTTTACTTCTGTCAGAAGAGACCGAAATGATTTCTGGGAAGGTATTAAAGGTAAGTAAATACCTACTTTTGCATGTCTTATGAATGAATAATATTAAAGTGAAGATGTACTGAAAGTAAATTTGTGTTGGCATAATCTTAGACACATTGGCAGTTATAACTGCATTTGCTTTATGCTTGGCTTTACTTGCTTGATTTTTCTATTCTAAGGAAATGCTTAACACTAGAGTAAAGTTTGAGAAATCATGGAACCTCAGAAAAAGTCTGTGATAATTCTTTTGGAAATTATTTTGGGGTTTGTTTGTTTGTTTGTTTGTTTGTTTTAATAGTCCTTAGTTACTCTTCTGTTAAATTGAAAAGATAGTTGTCTATGAGGATGGGGAAATAGATCTATGAGCCTACATTTATAGGTTTAGTATTAAGGTAGCAGAAGGACATTGGGCCTCCACTCAAGTACTCCCTCA